GGATAAGATCTCCTCTCTTGGGGTTTTAGTATAGTGTGGTTATCTTTTCTTTATCCCTAGATGTAGTTCCCTCCCTAATATTTTCTTTGTAGTTTTGTAGTTTATTGCAGAAATAAAAATATCCCTTCGGGGATTTTATAAAAAGAAGATAAAATGGAAGAGAATGCTGTAAGCTGCTATGGGTCCACATTGTGGAGAAAGACAGGGTATAACTATAGTAGAAGAAGAAGAGAAGAGATTGGATTTATACCCCGCCCTTCACTACCCAAGGGTGTCTCAGAGCGGCTTACAAACTCTTTTCCCTTCCCTTCCCCACAACAGACACCCTGTGAGGTAGATGGGGCTGAGAGAGCTCTGACAGAAACTGCTCTTTTTCCAAGAACAGCTCTTATCAGAACTACGGCTTGCCCGAGGTCATCCAGCCAGGTGCAAGTGGAGGAGTGGGGAATCAAACCCGATTCTCCCAGATTAGAGTCTGCCCACTTAACCACTACACCAAACTGGCTCACAAGTGGGGACCCACAAGAAACTTGTGGAAGCGGCTATTCCATTCCCCCCACCTCTGCTTCTTCCCCTCTTCCCCCTACTTCTCTCACACTTTCTCCTTCCAGAGCTTTGGACTTTTCTGGAGACTCATGGAGTCCCCTGAGTCTGTAGAAAAACCTGTTGGGGAACAGTATGCCCCCTATCTGCAGAAATAAGTGTCTGCATGCAGAGGGGGCTTTGGGAATCAGTATATAGACAAGTGGAGAAACTTGTGGGATGCTTATCCCATTCCTCACACCTTTGCTTCCTCCCCTTTCCCCCTACCTTTTAAACGTTCTCCCTTCTGCCGTAACCTTTTCTTACTCTCTCTTCTCCGTGCATGTTACTTCCTGTCTCTTTCTGCCCCCTCATCGTTCGCTTTATTTTTCTGCCTCCCCACCTCCTCACTCTCTCTGTTTCTGTCCCCCACCCCATCACTCTCTCTCTTTCTGCCCCCATCTGCCTCCTGCCTGCTTCCTTTCCCACTACACACAACAATAGCAGTGGTAGTGGCAGTGCTCCAAGCCGCCCACCTGCTTCCTCTCCCCCCCACAGCAGCAGGGGCAGTGCCCCGGGAATCATAACGGCTCTCCCAGCTGCAGAGATCAATTCACCTTAGGGCTGCCAGCGCCAGGTTGGGAAATTCCTGGAGGTTTGGGGGTGGGGGCCTTGGGACAGTGAGGCTTGGGGAGGCAAGCCACCTCAGTAGGGTATAATGACATAGACTCCACCCTCCAAAGCAGCCATTTTATCCAGGGGAACTGATCTCTGCCACCTGGACAACAGTTGCAATTCTGGGTAATCTCCAGCTCTCGCCTGGAGGCTGGCAATGGTAGTTCTCGTGGAGGAAATGGCTGCTTTGGAGGGTGGAGTCTATGGCAGTCTTTCTCCACAGTGGATATCAAAGCAGCTTACATTATTCTCTCATCCCTTTTATCTGCACAAAAACCCTGTGAGGTTGGTTAGGCTGAAAGTATGTGACTGGTCCAAAATCATCCAGTCAGCTTCCACCGCAAGATGGGGATCTGAACCTGGGTACTTTGAAGCTCTAACTGCTGCACCACGCTGGCTGTCATGGGGTGGGTGCTGTTGAAGAGTAGCAAGCAGCCAGACATAGTTGAGTCATGCAAGTAAGGTGGTACCAAGTCACCCGGAGGGTGCTGACTAAGGATGCCAACCTCCAGGTGGGACCTGGGGATCCCCTGGAATTATTGCTTATCTCCAGACTACAGAGATAACTTCCCATGGAGAAAATGGATGCTTTGGAGGGTGGACTCGATGGCAATGTACCTCAGTGAGTTCCCTGTCCTCCCCAGGGTGCACCCCCAAATCTCCAGGAGTTTCCCAACCTGGATCTGGCGACCTTAACCCCCCCCCATCCCCTGCCGGTGGCCACAGGGGACCTGGCAACCCTAGACTGCTGCCAGGCCTAGGGTTGCCAGCCTCCAGTACACCATAATTATGCAGTACACAGTAGACCTGGGGAAATCATGCATAGAAGGAGCTCAGCATGTACCTGTCATAGTCAAGCATGCGCACCTGAATGTGAGTGCAGCACTTAGACATTTTACTGCTTATATGCAGGTAAGTGCCATCCCTGTGACGTGTAAAACTATTTTTGAACATTTCTGATCAGGAGGATGGATCTCAGATGCATCGAGTTTGTTCATGTGTAGGTGTTATGTATCCACGTTTCAAGCCAATGTGTGTAAGCCAGGGCAAGACCTATATGTTGGGTTGTAAGCAGGGCAGTGCCAATGTGCTTGATCCTATTTCTCCTCTGTGCATGTTGCCTAGTCCCTTGATGTGTCGTCTATACAGGGATCACGAGTCCATTAGACAACTTCAGTTTCTGAGCTCTATCAGAAAGGAGAAGAGTACTGTCAAATTAAACTAGGATAGAAAGGCATTTTTGCTTGGAGGTTATTCATGCTCTATACCTCGTTGATTCAAAGCAAATATCTTGTATGTCAGTGTACTACTAATATTTGAGATTGGGGCGGTAAGAGAGGCCTTGGCATAACCTGTAGAGCAGAAGAGAACTGAGAAATGGTGTTTCCTAGATTTTGTAGCTTGCGTTAGCAGTGTCCACTTTGTCCTGGGTGACAGCTGCCAATATATAGGAGGCTTAACAGGAGAAATGTTCGTACAGTTTTTAATAGAGCCTTTCTTACATTTGATCCTGGGGGATTTCCCCCTCTCCCTTTCACATTTACTGGTAAACACAATTATTTCAATCTCAAGGGGGAAACGACGTGTGAAAACAGCAGCTGTAACAAATGTAAGGAACCCTAGAAATCTAAAAATAAAAATTCAAATGTAGACATGTTCCAGATCCCTGTATCTTTATTTCTAGGAAAAAACCAAAGTTCTGGACCAAAAGCAATCTGATCGTTTTGTTTCCCAGAAATCAAACTTTTCCATGAGTATGAGTGATACATTCGTATTTGCACAGCTGCAAAGTCGCAAAACCATGAATTTTGGCCATTCACTGGTACATAATTTCCTTGAAATAGGCAGCACAAATTACTAAATGATCACTTAATGTATTAGACCCAAACATCAATACTTTATTTTGAGATTAAACCTGGAAAATACACACACACACACACACACACACATCTGGTATTGGGATCAAAAAGACCCCTAAGTCATAGCTGTAGTAAGAGGTGCATGTGATATTGACCCCAATTTAATAAAAATGAAATTTTTATTGACAGTTATTTACAGTTCATAGGTATAACTGCACATACACACTTACCTGTAACATTCCTAGATGGAAGAAGAAAATCCTAAATCATTTTACACCTCTAACTGGTGCATTGTTTCAAAACTCATATTAGAATTTTTACCAGTGTTGAGGTCATATAGACACCTACCTACTTCTCCCCCCGCCCCCAGTATGCCACATTTCATTTCCTCCCATTCAATTTAAACTGGCCTATCTTACCCCAGTGCCTTTTAGCCAAAACAGTGCCTTTAAATGCAGACGAGGGAGATGAAATTCCATAGAACCGTGGGCATAAAAATGTCACATTTTTATGCCATGCTTTGGAGTTGTAATTGACTGAAAAGCCCTGGGGAATTAATCCTGACTGCTATGCATTTTAGTGGAAGGCCAGGACTGTGTGCAGGTGCCCTGACTGAAGGCCAATGCTGGGAGTTCCAGTAGCACTGACCCAGAGTGTGTGTGGGGGATCACTCATGGTCCCAATCTCTCCAGGAGACTTGTGAATGGAAATCTGCAAAGTGCCCCAGGGGGGTGGTGAAGCGCCTGCACATAAATTTTAATCAGTTGACACGACCGCCAGAAGAGGCCAAGCAAAGTTGCCTATATGCCATTTGCTGGCTGAACTTGCCTTCTGCCAAATAGGCTTTGATACTTGCAAAAGAACGTGAAAATGTTACTATTGTGTTTATCCCTGGGAATTTCAGAAGCTACACGATACCCCAGCTGGTTTGTCCAACAGAATACCATGGCTTGGAATGTTGTGGCATTCTCCAGGAGAGCTGCATTTCATACCAGTCCATTTGACTGTGTGTAGCTAGAATCCTTTCGTGGTTAGATCTGCTGTGAACTCGAGGTGCCATTGATGAGTGGTCTGTCTTGTTTCAGCTGCCTTTGTTCTTTGTGCAGTTTACATATTCTCCTGTTTCTGAGATCATCAGTGCTGCAGAGAGATTTGGAGGGGATTTCACCACTACCAAGAAATCCAGTTTGGGGGGGGGGGGGAATCTAAACTGCCTAGAAAAAAATTTTTAGAATTGTATTCAACAAAACAGTGGCCAACATGGGATTCTGAAAGGACGTGTGTCTGTATTGCTCTTAACCCCCTCCTCTTCTGTCCTCCATATAGGAATAGAACTTTACTGAAAGAGGAGGATCCTGCAGTTCTCATAGCAGAAGTTTTAAGAAGAAAGTTTGCCCTGAAGGATGAAGATGTAAACACAAAAAAGAACTGACATTATGCTTCCTTATTGCTCTGTAAGCAAAGTATTGTACTCCTAAGATAATCTTTTTTCTCCACAGTTGGCTGCCTTCCTCGAACATCCAAAATCATGTAGGGGTTAGGCTTCCTCTGAGGAGGTGTGGACTTGCTGTTTTCCCACACAGCTTAGAAAGGTGCAATTTTTTATAGGGTAAACTGTTTTCCACAACTGTTTTTTGCATTGTTGGTAAGAATTCTCCTGTAGTGGAAAATGCCAAGAGGCTTGAATGATTTAAATTAAAAATGACCTGTTCGTGATTTTGCTGCAAAAATGGCTAGCTACTGGTTTATATACTGAATGGATACAAGTACCTTAATTCCCAAGCCTGTGGTAAGTTATCAAGATATATAGTCCTTGCATCTTCTCTTGTTATTCGTGGACTCTTGCTGTTTTTAAAAAGGTTGATTGAAAATAGTTTACATTTTAAAAGCTTGCCCCAGGTTTTTTTCCCCTCTTCAAGAAATACTGCATGAGATTCAGGTGGGGCAGCCGTGTTGGTCTGGAGCACCAGAACAAAGCTGGAGCCAGTGGCCCCTTTAAGGACCCACAGAGTTTTACTCAAGGCGTGAGCCTTCTGTGTGCCAGGCACACTTCCCGGGAGAGAGACCTGATCAAAATATGTTACGCTGAAGGCTTGGAATAGCTTCATTTGTACTCTGCCTTTCTCCCCGATAGGGACCCAAAGGGGCTAACATCATCCTTCTCCCAACTCTGTCAGATAGGTCAGAATGAATGTGCGGGACTGGTCCAAGAACACCCAGCGAGCTTCTGTGATTGAGTGTGGATTTGAACCTGGGTCTCAGAGATCCTAGACTGACACTCTTACCACTATGCCTAGGTGTATGCATCTCTGAACACAGCAGTGGCAGACTTCCCCCCCCCCCAGAAAAAAGGTTGACAGAATAGGAAACGCCCCCTGCTTTGCTTGTTTTGTCACTTAAACAGTTTTACACCAGGAAGTAAATAAGTTATGAATATTTCAGAAGGGGCTGTGGATCCATGGTCAAGCACATGGATCTTACATACTGGGGATTCCAGATTCAGTCTTTGACCTCCAGTTAGAGGATGCCAAGTGAAGGATGTTGGAAAAGACCTATTTCTGCCTGAAACAGTGGAGAACTACTGCCAACTAGAGTAGACTGCACAATGGTGGACTTGGTCCAGAACAGCTCCAGGGGCACATTGTGGCATATTTTGCTGCTAGAAATGACTGCCATGTTCTTTTATGTAACATCCCTTTATTTAATAATTAATAACCTACAACGTGCTTATATTTACAGTGTACCTTTTATTTAAGTTTCAAACCTGACTATCACATGCATAACCAGGCCTGCATCCCACTGAACAATTACAAGTCAGTGCTTAATGACCCTATTGCCTTCCGAATCCTCTGTGAATAGCAAGTCGTAACATGTATCCAGACTAATCTCTGCTCCTGCAGGTAGCTGTGGCCCACTTTCTGCAGGAAAACAAGCCCTGAAGCAGTCTCTATAGGCTTGGTTGGTTCCTCGATGGCTTTTGTCCCACAAAGCCTGCTTCAGCAAACAAAGATTGCCTCGCTCACCAGAAAAGCCTTGAGAAATTACTCTGTCACCCTCAGAGTCTTGACTGAACGAGGAAGTGGTACATCCTGGCTGGCTATTCTCTGTCCCGTTATCAGAAACACAAGGAGGCGTGACTGTTTCTGAGGGGATCCCTATCATGTTTTGGTTGAAGCCTTTCAGTTTCATGGCTGTGCCACACCTCTCCAACTGAGGATCTGTGTTCTCAGAATTTGAGGAATCGCATAAACAGCTCCTGCTGTGGGAGGAACGGCTTCTGTCTTTTCTCAAAGCCTTCAGGTTTCGGCTAGCCTGAGAATAAAGGGTGCTGGACGGTCTCCAGCCACCATTTTTGTCTCCTAAAGGTGATCTGGAAACAGCAGCATGCTCAATAACCCCATTTGCTTCCAGGTGCTGAGTGAAGTCTAGGTTCTCATCTTCTGTGGTACATTTCCCCCCCTTCACTCCATCCATCCATCTGCTGTTACTCTGAGCAGAGATTCGGTGGGCATGATGTTGTACAGGTTTGAATTCCCAAAGTGGTGGAAATGATACCAACTGGCTTCTCTCCCCTTTAAGCGACTCATGTCCTTGCAGGTTGTAGTTGCTTTCTGATGTAGCACCTGACAGCCCCCTGTTTCTGTTGGCTTTCTTTTCACCTGGAAAAAAAAATGCTGAATCAATACAATACAGAACCTTTATATAAAATCAGTAAGAAGAAAAACTTTGTCAAGCTAAAATTACATCAAAATGCTGAATCTTAATTGAGCTAGATAGGTCAAATACGCACAGCCTTTAGACCTGCCAAATACTAGGGAATAACTTATGGCTCACCCCTATCTGTGCAGGTCAAATGTGAGCGTCATTTTTACTGGATACAAGTAATTCCATGCTGTGTGCCCTAAAGCTTCTGGAAGCCCACTCTCTTCACAAATCACCGATCTGACCTGCCTCCTTCCAGTCAGCCTTTACACCCAGCTGATTACTCAGAAATTCCCACGCACTTGCACAGTTGCAGGGGAGGCTGCCTGTTGCATTTCTGCATGAGTCCACACACAGCATAGGCCTCACTTTCTAATATCCAGACCAGAAGCTTGCCCAAAACAGACTTGTTCTCCAAGAGCTTTAGCTGCATGCTCCATGCAGGATGAGTAGCTCTCTTGCATATTATCAGAATTTCCACAGCCTTCAAAAAATATGAGGAAACATAATTACAGTTAGAATTATTATTGTTAGACGCGCTGCCACCTGGCATACCCGTCAGCAATTTCATACTGTTGTTACGTTATAAATGTAGTATTCCGAGACATGAGGGTGGATGGCGTGTAATCACTGTTTGTAAATTGGGAGCTCCTTGGCTTAAATCTCAGGCATAATAAAACTGACCTGCCGTACAGGGTTGTTGTAAGGATTATGACAAGGTAGTTTTTGTGCAGCACTCTGAACAGTAACAAAAGCACTATGTAAATATGAATTGCTATTGTCACTCTCACAGTTGGTATACCTGAGGACTGGCAGCAACCCCATGGTAGCTCTTGGGCTGTGCCACAAGTAGCCACATTCTTACAATCACATTAAAAAGACGCAGGGGGAGGGGAGGGGAGGGGGTGGCTCCAAGGCCAAGCAGAGTGTTGGTTTTCACTGCCCTCTTCAGCCACTTTTCCAAGGGGGGCCTCAGGTCTGCTTGTGCAGTTTCAATGTGATGCAGCATCCACAGCAGTGCAGGAGCTGGTGGCCTGTGCTCCAGTGTCCTACAAGGCAGCAGGAGGCAGGACAGCCATTTCGGAGGGCATTGTGTGTGTGTGTGTGGGGGGGGGTGTTTTGGTGAAGTGTTTCCACAATGAAAGGTGCAATAGAAGTGTGAAATAATAAACCTTCTACAAAACTTTTTGCCAGCGTGCAAGTTATTACAAATCCAAACCTTCCCTGTCAGCAAAGTTTTCTCTTTCAGGGTCCTTGGGGTTAATTGCTAATGGCTGTGCCAAATCCTGGTTTTCCACTCGTTTCCCACTTGCATTCCGATCACAAGACAATGTTAAAAGGAGATACGAAAAGCAAGTCCCCAGAGCCCCACGATGTGATCGCAAGAACTGCAACCTCGACACTAGGAAGAAAGGATTAGATGATGTCCTCTTAAGCAGACACTAAAATTGCTGCTGTCACCCATTCTGAATTTTGTATTGACGTTAAAAAAAGAATCATGCATATCCTTTACAGGATTAAAATTTCTGTTTCCAGGCTGGGGTGACAAAAAGTCTGCTCTGGGAGCTCCCAGCTTAGCTTCTATGGATTTGTCCTGCTAACAGCAGCACCTTCCTCCAGGGCAAGGTGCCTTCCCCTGACTCAACAGCTGCTTGCGTTAGGAAAAGGCAACTCACCCCAGAAGCAGAACAAATCCATGGGAGCCACACCCTACTGGGTTCATGTTCTACTTTTGGGTCATAAGATTTTCAAAGCTGCTTAAAACATTTTTAAAAACATAGTATTTAACCTCCCTGTTCTGCCATGTTCCTCACCCTTAGAGGTACAGCGAACATTCACTGGCCACAATGATCAGAGTGGGAGAGAAACGCTTTCTCCAGAAGCCTACATTGTGATGCGTGTCCTTAATAGTTTGTATCGGCCTTCCTAGAATTGTATACTGTGTACAGTTAACAAGCCTCTCAGGCAAACTTTCCACGTTTGACCTGTTTGCTGATAAACCCAAGGGCCATTGTAGGAGATGAGGGTGTAGTCAGTTCCTGAAGGGTAGCATGTACCCAAGCACATTCAGTGCTGCATTACAGAAGGCAGTCCACAAGAGAAGGCACAGAATTGGATCCTTGCACTCTGAGACTTCAGGCGCTCAAATGCTCTTCTGAAGAGGTGCAGGGATCCCACCCAAGATGCTTTACCCCAGAGAAGTCTGACCCTCATTTAGTACCCATACAGTTTGAAACCTCTGGTATGCTGCAATTAACTTATTAGTATGTAGGTTACTTGTGGAAGAGAATTCATACATTCCTCTCCAGCTGGGCCTTATGCAATCAGGCGCCACCTTCTCTGCAAATGTTCCTTGCTGGAAAGAGGATAACATGCACTCCAGTGGATTGTGAATGTTTTCCTGGCTTCAGTCACCAGTTGGGGCTGTGGGCGCAGAGCCTCAAACAAATACTGAGCAACAAAGCTGCTCTGCTGCTTCAGCTGCTCTTTTTAGTACTGACTGCTGACTTGGAAATTCACACAGCTCCTGATGCTGGGTGTGTAGCTGGATCAGAACCAAAGCCTCTTTTCCACTCCCCACACACACTTTGCGCTAGTAAAGGCCACTTTAAGCCTTCACATTTTCACTCACACAGGGGACTCCTCCCACACTTCTCTGTGAATAAAAGTGGGCTGTCTGGAGGATTTATAGCACAGATGGTCAAGTGGGGACTTGTGAGGAATGACAGAAGAATCTCTCTCCCACCTTGCAGCTCCAGCTTGTCTCCCCATCCCTGTCTCTCACTTCCTGCTGCCCTCCCCCTTCACCCCATGGACTTCCTTCCTGCCACCCTGTCCACATACTGCCCCCCCCATCCTTGCCAGGGCAGTAAACGGAAGGGAGGAAGGGAGTGGGTGTGGAAGCAGCTGGAACTGGGTTCCTCTCCTTGCAAGTGGCTGTCATTGCTACATATTTCTACCTATCTTTGGGGTCGCTACAAAGTGCTTTTGTTTGTTATTTTGTTTGGTGTAGTGGTTAAGTGTGCGGACTCTAATCTGGGAGAACTGGGTTTGATTCCCCACTCCTCCACTTGCAGCTGCTGGATGACCTTGGGCATGCCATAGTTCTGTTTTCTCAAGGACAGTTCTGGAAAGAGCTCTCTCAGCCCCGCCTACCTCACAGGGTATCTGTTGTGGGGAGGGGAAGGGAAAGGCGTTTGTAAGCCACTCTGAGACTCCAAGTGAAGGGCAGGATATAAATCCAATCTCCTCCTCTTTGTTTTGCAACCTCTGTAAATGTTGCCCCCACATTATTAATATTATTGTTGTTAACAAACCTGAGGGTTTCCTAAATTCTATATCATAGCAATGGCTGACTGCAAATGTGTGGATTTGCCTGCCCACATACGGGCCATCCTTTAAATTGTTGGATATAGGGATTCAAGGAGGGCAAGGGTATAAATTGCAAGCCAGCTCACTGTAACATGTAATATGCAGGTTCCAATGAATACCCAATCCTTTGCCTCTGAGAAATGCAACACTTAGTGGTGCACAAACAGGTTCACTTTTGGATAGTATTCCCTTGTTCTGGCCTCACTGGAACCACACAACTACAGACTTCAAGAAGGAATCTTTTTTCTTTTCTTCTTTTTTAAAGAACAAGCTTTTCAAGCCACCTGTCTGCTCTTCAGCCTCCCAAGTCCTCCTCCCTCCCACCACAGGTGTCTGGGACAGGGAGTTGTCATCTCCTGGAGGAAAAAACCCACATACCTACTGGTTGAGACCTGAAGAAGGTGGAGATGGTGGTTTGCTTGGTGAAGGGAAGAGGTACTTTTTCTGGAACAGGGTAAAGCAAAGGCCTGTTCTGCATGCTTAGTGTTGGCTTAGCTATTAGGGTCTACAAGGGAACAGAGAAAAGCAGGATGAGAATTCCTACACCCTCACAGACAAAGCCCCAGCCTGCTCCCCAATGCCAGTTAAGCCCATGTCCCTTAGCTTCAAAATGATTTGCTGCCATCATTTCAAGTGGAATGAAGCAGGATCCATCAGCAATATCCCAACGCTGCCTCCTCCAATGAACTGAGTCAAACTGAGGTGACCAGTAATGAGGTTCTAGTAGTACTACACAAACTGAAAATGAATCAGTTTCCACATCCAGATGGCATACAACCGGGCTGAGGTTTCTTCGGGAGCTCAAATGTGAAATTACTGAAGTACTAACCAGAATCTGAAACTTGTCACTAAAACTGACCTCCGTAGCAGAGGGATGGAAAGTAGCAAGTGTTGCTACTTTACCAGTTTCTAAAAGGGTCCAGGGGAAATCCAGGAAATGATAGCCCAGTTAGCCCAATATCTATCCCAGATAAATGAGTAGAAACTGTTACTTAAGAGAGATTAAGCACCTAGAAAAGGGAAGGGAAATGATCCCAAGCTGAGTTCTGCCTCAGCATCCTCAGAGTTTTTTTGAGCAGGTAAACAAGCATGAGGATAAGAGTGATCTGGTAGACATCATAGACTTGGACTTCCAAAAGGCTTCTGACAAGGCACCTCACCAAAGACTTCTGAGTAAGCCTGGCAGTCATGGAATAAGAGAACAGACCCTCAAGGATTACAAATTGGTGAAATGGCAGGAAGCAGTTAGTTAGAAATAAATGGACAGTTCTCACAATGGAGGGACATGAGCAATGGGATCCCACAAGGATCAGTACTGGTGCTATTTAATGTGTTCATAAATAATCTGGAACTGGGGGTGAGCAGTGCAGTGGCCAAGTTTGTAGATGACACAAAATTATTCAGGATGGTGCAAACCAAGGTGGACTGTGAAGAGCTACAAGAGGATCTCTCTAAATTCAGTGAGGGGCAACAACATGGCCAATGAAGTTCAGTGGGCAAGTGTAAGGTGATGCACATTTGGAACAAAAACTCCTATTTTAAAATATATGCTGATGGGGTCTGAACTGACAGACTAAACGGGAAATAGATCCGGCGGCTGTACATAAGAACATAAGAGACACCAATGTTGGATCAGGCCAAAGGCCCATCCAGTCCAACACTCTGTGTCACACAGTGGACAGAAATACCAGGTGCCATCAGGAGGTCCACCAGTGGGGCCAGGACATTAGAAGCCCTCCCACTGTTAAACCCCCCCCCCCAAGCACCAAGAAGACAGAGCATCACTTGCCCCAGAGCCCCTATCTATACCTTGTGGCTAATAGCCACTGATGGACTTCTGCTCCGCTTATCTAAAGAATAGCTTTAGAGAATAGCTAAAATATTGACTCTGTATACAGTAGTGATGGAAGGCAAATTCCATGCTATGAATTATTGTGAAAGGAATTGAACATAAAAAAAATGGCCCATATTGTAATTCACTGTATGTATGGTGAGGCTCCATTTGGAGTCGTGTGCAGTTCCGGTCACCATATCCCAAAAAGGATACTGCAGAACTGGAAAAAGTAAAGAGGAGTGCAACTAAGACGATTAAGGGGTCGGAACACCTTTCCTATGAAGAAAGGCAAAAGAGTCCAGAACTATTCAGTTTAGAAAAAAGACTGAGGAACATGCCAGAGGTTTATAAAATAATGCCTAGGGTGGAGAAAGTGTGTAGGAATAACTTTTGCTTTCTCTCCCATGACACTAGCACTTGGAGCACTCAACTAAATTGATGGGCAATATATTCAGGATTGACAAAAGGAAATACTTCTTTACACAAGAAGTAATTAAATTCAGGAATTCCCTGCCAGTGGTCATGAGCACAGATTAATTTAAAAGGTGGTTAGGCAGATTCATGGAGGATACGTTCATCAATGGATGCTGGCCACGTTGACTAAAGGAAGTCTCCACATTTAGAGGCACTAAACTTCTAAAAACCAGTGTCAGGAGGCAACATGAGGAAAGTCTTGGCCTCTGTGTCCTGTTTGTTGGCCCTCCAGATGGACCACAGGTATGATCCAGCAAGGCTCATCTTATGTTATTAATGAAAAAATGGGGAATTTGGAGGAGTGCTGAAAGAAACTCCTACAATTTTTGCTTTTGGAATTAGTGAAATGTGCAAAGATAGCACTGAGTGCAACCGTTTGCCGCTCTCTCTTGCTTTAATACTGGGTGTGTTTCCAATTATGCTTGTAAAAAACTAAGGCATTTATACTTTAAAATTCCATAAATGCACCAATTAATGCAATTTTATATGCTAAATTAGTTATAAATGATGCACGTAATGGTATCGAAGTAGGTTTAGATTTGTGAGGAAAATATTGAACATATTTAAGTTTCCACATAAATTAGAAATGGAAAACTTTCCACAGAAAAATTAAACAGTGGAACATTTTCCACCCTACACACATATACAGTTAACAAAGTCCCTGGGCAAATAATAATAGTTTCACACAGTGCCTAAAGCTTAACAAGGTAGGAGTCAGGCGAGCTGATGCGTGGAAGGCATTTCACAATCGAGGAGCCACCAATTGAGGCTTGTGTCTCTGGTCACCACCCATCTTACTTCTGGTTGGATCTGTTCCACTCATGTATATCTGAAGCACTTGGAACAGCTGATAGTTAAAATGCTTTTTTTTTTTAATGGCATTTTATACAAACTTAATGCAGGTTTTTTAAGGAGCTACGGTGGCTCAAGTGGTTAAGACGCTGAACTGCAGGCTGTGGAAGGTCAGTAGTTCAGCAGTTCGAGACCCGGGGGCCACATGACGGAGTGAGCTCCCGTCTCTAATTCCAGCTCCTGCCAACCTAGCAGTTCAAAAGCAAGAAATTGCAAGTAGATAAATAGGTACCGCTTCGGTGGGAAGGTAACAGCGTTCCGTGTGCCTTGGTGTTTAGTCATGCTGGCCACATGACCACGGAAACGTCTTCGGACAGCGCTGGCTCTTCGGCTTTGAAACGGAGATGAGTCGGATTCAACTGGCTTTCGAGCAAGGGAACCATTACTTTAATGCAGGTTTTTGGTGCTCTACTCAGAAAAGTAAACCCACACTCTGTCTCCCCTCATTCATACACAGTCTGATGCAGACACCCAGTCTTCCCCTTTCCCCCAGGAGGGAGTTTCACATTGTCAGCCAACTGTCCACTAATGTGGCCATTTTGGAACTGCACAGCTAGAAAATCAGACGCCAGGTGGCCTAGACATTTGAGGGACACATTTTAAATTGTACCACAACAAAAATTTCAATAAAATGTTTATTTTAAAAAAAAAAACCATTTGAGGGACACATTTCCTCAACCCTGTGTAGGCATGGCACCAAGAAGCATATTTATTTATTTAAAACATTGATTAGCTGCCTTTCTATCCTGTAAATAAAACAATTTTTAAAAGACCACAATTTTCAATGGACACATAATAGGACATGAACATGTTTTTTCAGCCCTGTCTATCAACCCATTACCTGCATTTTACGGTTTTTGCGGGCCGAAGTATCCAGCCAGATGCCACAAGCCTCCCCCTGCTCCTCTGCAGGACTTCTGCCCTTCCGTTTCATCTGTGTTCGTACGATGAGTGACTTTCTGTAGCCTAAAAAGGAGCACAGGAAGTGGCATTCTAAAATTCTAGTCCTCATGGTTGCAAAGTGTTGAAATGATGGACAGTGCTGCGTAATGGTTTAGCGGCCTGCTGAACACTGGGTTTTTATCTTGTGGCTTTTAAGCCAAATCACCATCTTTCATCTTGTCATTATCTTTGCACAGATTCCAGTTTCCTGGCACTCATCACAATTTGTAGTCCTCCTGCATGCCCATCCTAAAATATGTGGGCAATAGATTTTCTTCAGGTAAAACTCTCAGCTAAAGCACAGCCAGTATCTGTTGCTGTGGACATATTAAAAAGTCCTTCCTTTTAAATTTTGTTACCTGGCTAGCCTGATCTCCTCAGCTCTCAGAAGCTAAGCAGTGTCAGTCCTCATTAGTACTTGGATGGGAGACCACCAAGGAAGTCCAGGGCTCCTATGCAGAGGCAGGCAATGGCAAGCCACCTCCAACCATCTCTGGCCTTGAAAACCCTGTGGGGTTGCCATAAATTGGTTGTGACTTGACAGCAAAGAACCAAACAGGCTTGCAGGTTTCTTCAAAGTTCCAGAATATTCACAAATCTAAATGGATCGCCTGAAAGCCATCCCACATTCACAAACTCAGGGTAAGCAAAAGAATTGCAGCTGATGAAGCTTCTTTGATTGCCTCATGAGCCACAGAAACCCTCCTCTTCTGCTTAACTGTCACAAGAGCCTGTCTTTTGCAACTGGTCATCCTGTTACAAAAAGCAAAATAGGCTGCGATTCACAACAAGGTTACTTGGAAACGACTACCACTGAAAATCAGTAAAATCAAAAGGAAAATGTGTTATGGACCAACAAATATACTGCGGCATATGTTTATGTGGGCTGAGAGATCTTTCCTTTTCATTTTTGGTGCAATGGACTTCACAGGAAAGACAGTGGCTCAGGAAGAAAGCATTTGATTTGCATGCAGAAGGTCCCAGGTTCAAATCCCCACCCTCTCTAGTTAAAAGGATCAGGTAGGAGGTGATATGAAAGACCTCTGCCAGAGACCCTGGAAAGCCACTGACAGAGTAGAAAACATTGACCTTGATAGACCAAGAGTCTGGCTCAGTATAAGGCAGCTTCAAGTAGTCATGTATGTGCATGCACATTTATTTGGACTGCTGTGTGGATGCTGGACTAGATAGACTTCACACACAGGAGGCCCCAGGTTCAGCCCCTGGTATCTCTAGTTTTAAATGTGATCAAGTGGGAGATGATGAGTCATTAGAGAGCTGCTGCTAGTCAGAGCAGACAATACTGACCTTGATAGACCAAGGGTCTAGCTCTGTATAAGACAGCTTCATGTACTGAGCCATGACTCGGTGGTAGAGCACCTGTTTGGCATGCAGAAAGTCCCAGGCTCAGCCCCTAGAAGCGCTAAATAAAGGGATCAGGAAGGAAGTGATGTGAAAGACTTCCATCTCAAACCCTGGAGAGCCGCTGCATAGGCCAGCACCTGAACTCAGCTTCCCCATTAAAAAGGGAAATCAGTTTAAATACGGTTTCATTATGGTATATTTTTATTGGTCACTTTGTTACAAAGCACATCCAGCAACACCCCCTCCCCTTCTAATTTAGGACTGCGGTTCTAACCATTATTATTTGGAAGTAAACCGGTAGTTCAGCAGTTCGAGACCCGGGTGCCGCATGACAGAGTGAGCTCCCGTCTCTAGTTCCAGCTCCTGCCAACCTAGCAGTTCGAAAGCAAGAAATTGCAAGTAGATAAATAGGTACTACTTCGGTGGGAAGGTAACAGCCTTCCGTGCACCTTGGTGTTTAGTCATGCCGGCCACATGACCACGGAAACGTCTTCGGACAGCGCTGGCTCTTCGGCTTTGAAACGGAGATGAGCACCGCAACCCTAGAGTCGGATTCGACTGGCTTTCGAGCAAGGGAACCTTTACCTTAAACACTGTCTATCTATCTGGACCGTCTTCCACGTAACCGGATTCCAGAGGTGGAAGCCTTGATCCTATCTCCCCCAACATGCCCCAGAAGATTTCACAGTACAATTTCCCACTGTATTTCTGTCTCAGGAACGCTCATCATTAAACGAACGTTGTTTGAATGTAAAGGCGCCACTAGATGAGTAGTCGGCAGAAGCCAAAGAGCCCCCTCGGTGGTCACAAAAGCTGTCTCTAACTAGCCATTGCATGCCGCAGCGCAACTGGGAGACGGGTTCCCTTTGTTTAAACTGCAATTGATTTCTGCATTTTTGTCGTTTGCAGAGGCGGTCTCGGTCACGCAGAGAAGAGGAACACAAAAGACACCCTTGAGCCCCAGAACTGACTTACTTGCAAACGGCCGCTCCTTTACCACAAGCGAAAGACGGACTCCCCATTCTTCCTTCCCGCCTCCTAAGCCCCACCCTTTCCGCTTAAACGTGCCCAATAGCAGAAGAGGCGTACACTCCAGAGTCCCCCCGCCCAAAGAAGACTGGTAGATTTTGACGAGGCGGGAAGGGGTTGTGGTACCCTCGGGGGTGGGGATACTATGATTGGAGCAGAAAATGTTAATCTCTTTTTAGAATTCTAGTACATGCGATCCCGTTCATTAGAAGTGGCGCAGAAGTTCCAGGTTTCCCAGCATAGTGATAACTGGAAAAAAGAGTTACAAGCAGAAAGTTATGAATTAATTATTTGAAAACTTCATCAGCATCACTACTTATGAGTTTATGCCAGTTACATTTAATGAAGTGCTGGTCCATGTTCACATTAGGAGCAAGTCAGCCACCCCTCACTGAACTGGCTGCAGGGCAAAGATCCGCTGTGGACACTTCTCACAAAGCTTGCTGGAAAACAGACTGCATTTTTAAGTAATTCTGTAATGTAACTGCTGTCCTGTACACGGATGCTGTGTCTTTTCTGGACCTATTTTATTTAAATAATATGTTTGGGTAAGGCAACTTTTAGGGCTCAATAGCACTACTTTATTACTCAATAGTACTAGAGTAGGAAAAGAGGAAGACCCGATATAAGATAGATTGACTCAGCCTGTCAATTTGCAAGACCTACCTGAGCAAGGCTGTTAACAACAGGACATTTTGGAGGGCATTAATTCATATGGTCACCATAAAAAAAAGACTTGATAGCATATAACAGCAAAAGTACTACTTTTCAGACTTTACTTACATCATCGTAGGGAGTAGGGGGAGTTCACACAGATTTCCTCCACCATTCTCCACATGCTGTTAAGAAGGTCCAAATAGCACACACAGTGGGTTGTGGGGTTTGTTTGTTTTTTTGCTTCTGATCAGAATGTGGAGGTTTTGCAAAGCGGGATATAATGTGATCCTCCTTTCCACTGCGTATGATGAACAGTATTTAGAATGGCACTTTCAAGCATTCATGATGTAGAGTCTGTAGGTGTCATTCACTGTTTCTTCTACACTACATAAGGAATTTATGTGTAGAAGCTTAAAAAACAAACGGAATAAGGAAAGACAAATTACTACTGAGGATGTCAATAAATTAATGGTGAACTTGAAGAAAATTAAGCTAGAAAAGTATAGTGAACTTGAAAGAAAGATAATATGGAAGTGGTACAGAACCCCTGCACAACTGGCATATATGATAAAAGGGATGAAACCTAATTGCTGGCACTGTAATGCAAAAGAAGGGTGGTACTCTCACTTATGGTGGGAATGCCCAAAAGTGATAGATTGTTGGGAAAAGATACGGGGGAAAATAGCAGTGCTATGTAAAGTTAACCTGGATATAGATGTAGATTTATTATTTATGGGTGTATTGGGAAACCATAGAATTGAAAAACAAAATCAGGATATCTTCAAAGTAATGTTATTAGCAGCACATGCAGTGATTGCATATGGTTGGAAGGAGAACTCAAAATGGACTTTAGAAAAATGGAACAAATATTTATATGAATATATACAATCGGACATATTGGAATGTTTAAAGCAAGATAAGATATGGAGTGTAAAAATGAAGGAGATAAAAAAAATGGTCAGTATACTTTAAATAGGTTTATAAAGGGGAAGCCAACAGGGGTATACTTGAAAAGTTGAAAAGAATGTGGTCATGGTTGAAAATGTAATTTGAATAACATGATGGTGGCCACCTTAGGGGGGGGGAGGGAGAAAATAGGGGGGGGGAGTATCAAAAAGTTGGAACTAAACTGTAATGTAATAACAATATTGGGATACAATAAAAAAATGGGGGGGGAAAGTAAGTCAGCAGAGTATTAAGAGACTGAGTCCATGGTGTGTTTAAAGTATAAGAGTTTACTATAAAGTTAACATGGGGAAAAGGTACACAGGATATGAAAATAACAAAGAGCTAATATGTCTACATCCTTGCAGCTAGAAGGTAAAACGGGAAGAGCCGGAATGGCGTCTCCTTCTCTAGTCAGAACAAAGAACTGGAGGAGAAAACCGATATGCTAAATACTTGACACCTTGGTTTCCAATCAGACTAGCAAACTAGCTCCAAAGTTCCCGGGCATCCTATTGTCTAAACAGATTGGTTACAAACAAACATGTGACTTAACAAACATCATTAACCCTGTAAATACTGAAGTGTTTTAACTTGTAACACCCAACATATTTTCTGCTCAGGATGTGAACTGCTCTGCTCAGGGGGGGGGGTTGGAGGGAACATTGATAACAACCCTGTAAATTAGGTAAAAATTATTTTCTCAATACTGCAGATTGGAAACTAGGGGCTGAAGCAAAAAGTAGCTAGTGTAAGGCTACCTGATGGAGGCAAGATTTGAAGGGGATGACATCCTGATTCGTAGCACACTCTTAGCCACTATGCTACATGAGCATAATGTGAACTTAGCCCTAAAAGTACATGGAATGTGATATTTAGATCCAGGGCTTTTTTGTAGAAAAAGCACAGCAGGAACTCATTAGCATAATAGGCCCCACCCAACAGCAGAAACTCATTAGCATATTTGGCCTCACTCCTGACAGCACAGATCATTAGCATATTAGGCCACACCCCCATGCCTTCCCTTGGCTTTCCCGAGCACCCCCCCGCTGCAGGGCGCCTGGGGCCCTTGGCCAGGCTGGGGAAGGTATGGGAAGGCATTTAAATGCCTCCCCGATCCTTTCAGGGCCCCTCCTGGCCCGCCCACCTCAGAGTCGCTGGGGGGGTGTCGCTTTCCAGGCCTTTTGTAGCCAAGCACACAGAGGTTTTGGCTGTAGTGGGCGTGGCCAACTCAGAAGCCAGCCGGAACTCCGTTCCTGTGTGTTCCTGCCCAAAAATAGCCCTGTTTAGATCAAAGAAGTTCTGCCTGTCTCTTGCGCAGTCATTAGCAGCAATTCCCCACTACAGTCTTCAGTCTCAGGACCAAGTACATTTAATGTGCAAATGTTCAAAATAAAACAAAAGTCCAGTGGCACATATCCCTGTTTTACAATCCCAGTCAAAGTGCATTACTTTGTCCTACCAGAAATCTTTGCTAAATGTTACAATATTTTGTAATCTGTTTACTGATTGTTTGATGCTATCATATTTTGTAATCCTCCTTGGTAGGGTTGCCAAGTCGATTGGACTCACCAGCGGGGGAGCGTTGCTGGGGTCCGGGAGCTGCTGCCGGATGCACGCAAAGCGCGCGCGCACCACCAGAACGTCACAGGAAGTGACTCACGACGTAGAGCATATTGGGGGCATGGCCCCAATCGTTGGAGGGAAAACCAAAGAGTTTTCCCTCCGATGATTGGGGCCACGCCCCCAACGAAATCTACGTGGTTGCATCACTTCCTGTGACGCAGCCACGCTGCGCTTTGGGGGGCAGGGTTCCCCCCGGGGCCTGATTCCGCGGCGGCGGAAATCGGGCCTCCAAAGTGGGGGGTTACCCGCCACCCGCCCCCACTTGACAGCCCTACTCCTTGGGTCCCAGTGAGAAAGGAATCATCATCATTATCACTAGAGGGTAGGGCTGCCAAGCCGCAGCGGGGGATCCATGTGTCTTCACAGGATTCCTGCCACGGGGGACAGCAATACGCATTGCACCAGCGTCGCCAGGATGTGACGCTATGCATCGCTCTGGCAACGGGACTCCAAACAGCCCTGTTGCCAGAGCGACGTGTAGCGTCACATCCTGGCGACGGCGGTGCAACGCGTATCGCTGTCCCCCGCGGCAGGGATCCTGTGAAGACGCACGGATCCCCCGCCACGGCTTGGCAGCCCTACTAGAGAGAGATGAAGAAGTAGAAGTAAAGCAAGAGAAAAGACAACAACCTTCTGGAAAGAACTGTGGGAAGACTCAAAAGAATACAATAAAAAAGCCACCTGGATCATAGATGTGGAAAACAAACTGAAAGGAAAGCAAATGAAGGGTCTTACAATAACCCTGGAAAGGCTGCAAAAATAACTGAAGGAAGTAAAAAAAAACTAGACAGCGCCTGGAAGAGATGAAGTCCATGGCTATTGGCTTAAAAAGTTGACAAGTCTTCATCCATGATTGGTGCAACAGCTTAATAATGTGCTCCGTTCCAAAGCAGTAGAAGATTGGATAACCACTGGCAGGACATTTCTCATTCTGAAGAAAGAGAAATGAGCAGTGCAAAGAAACTTCCGCCCAAGTACCTGCCTCCCAACAGCTTTTAAACTACTGACAGGAATTGTAGCTTATTCCATTAAATAGTATCTACAGCTCAATTCAATTTTGCCACATGAACAGAAAGGAATTTTCTGATAATCTCGAGGCACTAAAGATCAGTTACTGGTTAATAAAATGGTCTTACAAAATTGTAAAAGGCAGAAAAACAACCTGAAAGTTGCTTGGATTAATTACAAGATGGCATTTGGTTCACTCCCTCATGCATGGATCCTGAAAACACCAGAAATGGTAAGCATCAGTGAAACTGAAATAACATTTATCAAAACTGCCATGAGTAAATGGAACACCAGGCTGATAGTGAAGAAATCGGAACAGTTAATATCAAACGAGGAATTTTCCAAGGAGAGTCACTATCACTGCTGCTCTTTTTCATTGCCCTAATACCACTCACAATCATAGTCAAGGGCACAGGCCTAGGATACCAGCTTTCAAAGACAGGCCCCAAGATTTCACACTTCTTGTATGTGGATGACTTGAAAGTGTATGGAAAGTCATCATTAGAGATTGATTCTTTACTAAATACAGTTCAAATATTCAGGAAAGATATAGCAATGGTATTTGGCTTTGACAAGTGTGCAGCATTAGCAGTGGATAGAGGAAAGATCATTGAACAAGAGGAAATCAAGATGACAAACGTCAACAACAACATCAGAACACTGGGCTTTGAAGAAAACTACAAATACCTTGGAATTTTGGAAGCTGGCAACATCAACATACCCTTGTTAAGAAAAAACGAAACTAAAAAGTATTACTAAAGAGTTAAAAAGATACTGCA